GGCTGACGAGTATGAAATTCGAAACCAAGAGCTGCTGCACCGCGTACAAGCGCCCCTTCGTCAGGTGAAGAGCATTGATAGGAAATCTTAATGGAGTCGGTTATTCAAAACCTATAAACTAGACAAAATTCAGAAAGGAAAATACCTTTCCATTCTTCTTCTCCGGTACCACTGTATGACATACAGCCATCATCATTATCAGCTCACGGATAGCTTTTCCTTCAGGAGAATCCTAATAAACGCTCATGAGACAACAACCCCCTCATAAAAAAGGCAAAAAATACCGGATCATTGCGATATCGATTGACAAGGCTTTCATCACAAAATTCGTCGTTTTCATTGTCACCAAACATCATTCCAGCCACTGAGACACGTTTGAACTTCATGACGTTGCGAGTCAGCGTTCCAGTTTTATCACTCATAACGAACTTAACCTAAAACCAGCACTAATGAGCTTACAAAATGATGAAGAACCAAAAAATTTCCACCGCCTCGTACTGTATATCTGGAAAAGCAGCAAACTTTGGAAAAAATCTGGACGTTACATTAACTGTGACAGAAGATAGAACATTCTGATATTGAACGAAAAAATTGCAAAAAATCAATGGAAAATGGTTGATACAAAGGTTTTTAAATTGGTATAATGCCATATTACTCACCAAGCCAAGCTCCTCGTTCAGATTCGATGTGCGCGCAACCGCACAGGAGTCGCTGTTGGGATCATACATCTCTACATCGTTGTTGATATAAGTAGCCTGACATTAAAGTGTGTGAAAAGCAACCAAAAACCACGCAACAAAAAATGACTCAATAAACGAACCTGAAAGAAGCGAACAATCTCTAGAGTCACTTGTAAACTGATAGGAATGAGGTTATTATAAAGGATGAAGAAGGTTAGTACATTCCAAGCAAACGATGCTCTCGCGTCATTTTCTGGAAATGCAAGGTGCTGTGTAATGTGACTAATGTTCTAGAAGGCACTACTCACCTAGAAATGATAAATACCACATTGCTGGAAGATTAGCGCTACGCCAAAATTCTGCTCCGGCAGCACTTACAAGAGCAAGAGTGAGCAGAACAAAAAAGAGGAAAATGATACGATTGTTCGTTCTTGAGTCAACAGTGCAACTAAACATGGAAAAAATTATAAAGTGAACAAAAGCACTAAGAGTGCAATGAGTAAAGCAATAACATTAGAATGACGCACCCTTTCAGGGGTGCTGTTTTCGAGTTCATCAGTAGTTTCGCATCATGTCCAGTGTAAATTACAGCGCCAAAGATCCATGAGGTATTCTTCAAACGTGCACCACGTAACAGCAGTTGATCAATTCCTAAAAGTAAGTTCATACTGCGTATTCCAAAATACAAATGTAAAGGAGCAAAAATCAAAGATTCAAATTAGAGAGATGGGCAGTAAACCAGTGGTCGTATTCATGAGCGTTACCTAGTGAGTAAGCTTACCCAGTGGGTAGACTTTACCCACAATACCGCTATTCACGATGCTGCTGGGTAAGCGGACTCAGCA